TTGCAGGAGGAGTGCAGAAAACCTTGGGAATGACCAGGTGGATGTCTGGTCGGCTCCTTCCTGGCCCCCATGGAGAGGAGACGTGGGGCATGGACAAGACCCAGGTCCGGACAGGGCCGCGGGGTGGAGAGCTCTGGAGCAATGCACGCGGGTTTGCAGGCACTGTGCAGGGGTGGAGCAGTTTCCAGGCCGGCTACGGGGGAGGCCGGTTGAGGTGGAGCCGCAGGAAGGCTATGGGCTGCACGGGTGTCCTCCAAGCTCACCCCTCCTTGGGAGCTTGGCGTGCAGCCTTGGGCGAGTCCTCCAGGGCTGGGGAAATGGCGCTGCGGTCTTGCCTGTGGCCTTTGCTGTCCCAAAGCTGTTTCCCTCCTTCTTCGTTCTGTGATCAGATGCCTTTAGAGCCTGGCTCTGCCTCCTCCAGTCTCAGACCATATGTCCTCAGTAGGATCCACCCCACTCCACAGCAACAGGCACGGCCAGACCTGGCCACAGCTATGGGCGCATGGTAGGCCTGTCCACCGGGCTGATTTAGTTGGATGGATCCTAGCACTCACGTGGGAAATTCTAGGAAGAAATGCTTTCTTTCTTTTTGAACTTGGGCATGGGAAGGGGAAGGCCTGGGACCATTGGCAGCCACATTGCCACCGTGAGGAGGCAGAAAGCAAAGCCATCTATAAGCCAGTGTGGAAGAAGCTAATTCCAGCACTTTGGAAGGCTGAGGCAGGAGGACTGCAAGTTTGAGTCCAGCCTGGGCAACTTAGCAACTTAGTGAGGCTCTCTCTCTGTCTCTGTCTCTCTGTTTCTCTGTCTCTCTCTGTCTCTGAAAGAAAACATGGTAGACTGGAGAAAAGGAACTCGAGAGAGCCTAGGGACCAAGTATGTTGTTTTGAGCTTCTGAATTCAAGCTGTGCCTGAAGATAATTTATTGATTTATTTAATCAAAGTCCTTGGGGTAGCGTGGACTTCAGAGGAGGCTTGATCCAGCGCTCGGAATCCCAAGGGACACAGATCTCTCTGTCTCTCCAGCAGTGTTGGCTGGTCCTAAGGCTGCATCTCCTCCCGGTAGTGGAGTGGCTGCCAGCACAGCCATATTGTCCCTCACAGAGACAGAACTTGTCTCCCTAGCCATCCCTGTGAACAGGAAGCATCTTCCTTGGGAGATCTCAGCAGACAGCTCGTCATGATCGTTGGCCTGACGGACAGGCTGGGTTTACACCAGCAGAATCCCTGCAGCCTGGAAGCTGAGCTCGCCCATGTGACCAGCTCTAACAGGGCCCCCACTGCAAGCTGGAAATGTTGGGGTCTGGCTAGAAATGGGAAGGTGTCTGCGGAGGGGCAGCAAGCCCCAGAGTCCCTCAGTCAGCTGCTGGGAGCTGAGGCCGGAGCTGACTTGTGAGCCCTGGAGTGACCACCACTGGGCTTCCCAGACCTCTGCCTGCAGGTGCCGCTTGGCAGCAGAGGTGGCAAATTCTGAGTTCTTTTCTGCCTCAGCCTCTGGTTGGTGTCTCTGGGTCTGACTACAGTTACGGTGCCAGGGAGCCCCCCGCTCGGAATGAAGCCCGAGACGTCACCTCAGCAGTGAAAGGACAGACTAGGGGAGCTTGCCGCGGCTCCACCATGTTTGCCCGCCTCAAGAGCGTCCCGGCTCGCTGCCTGTTTACTCCAACTGATCCTGATCCTGACGACCAAACTCCCGCCAAAGCAGGGCTGAGTTGTGGCACTGAGGCTGACAGGCTGTGATCTGACGTGATGAAGTTAGTAACCACCACTTACGGACTTGGATCCCGCGGCCCCGTCAACTCTGCAGCCACCATATATTTCAATTTAATCTTCATATATATTTTTTGTTTTATATAATTTATTTATATATGTTAAAAATATATTTACTTTTGTTTTTTGAGACAGGGTCTTGCTATATAGTCCAGGCTGGCCTCAAACTCACTATTGTAGCCTAGGCTGGCCTCATGGTGATCCTGCTGCCTCAGCCTCCCAAGTGCTGGTATTACAGGCGTGCGCCACCATGCCCAGCAACACCACGTATTTTGATTACACTACTGCATGTGGGCCTGGGAGGGTGGGGTTGAGACTGGCTAGGTGGCCTGTCTCCTTCCAGAGCTGGACTCTCTGATAGCCACTTCCTGGGAAACGTGATCTTGAATCCTGTCCAAGGCTGGACAGCAGGCAGCACAGTGATGGAGATTGGGGGCTGGCTTGGTTCTGGTTCTGGCGGGGTTACCTGTGTTTGTCAGCATGCCCTGGCTGGCCCTGGGGAGGGCTGTGCAAGTGAATGCCGCTGTGGAGGTGTGGAGGTGGGGCAGGCTCCCCAGAGCCTCAGGTCCTCTGCTTGCCGCCCCACCCATTGTCCATGGCCACTGCTCGATGGGCTTTTGCGCTAATGAAGTTACTTCCTTCTGGCTTCTCCTGGGTGCTCCTGTGGTCTCAGAGCCTGGACCTGCTCTTCCTTGGTCATGGACAGAGAATCCACAGTGAGGATCCAGTCCCCACAATCCCAGAACTGACTTGCCAAGGGGACAGAGCAGGCGAGTGGCAGTGACATGTTCTTCAGAGAGCTCAAGCTGTGCCAGCAGGGAGGTTTCTCTGAAAGGGTCAGCCTCTGACAGCTCGGGGTGCCTCAGCCTGGTGTTGGCTATGTTGCAGGCTGGGGAGCAAGGCTGGAAGGCAGGAGCGGGGGAGGGGAGTGGGCAGGAGGTTGGGGGGCCTCAGGGGAGGGTAAATCAGGGTGGGGAAGTGAGGGAGATCTCAGGGATGACCTGAGCCTCAGAGGGCTTTTCATGGAGGTACAGGTGACATTCAGCACGGTGCACCATTTCTAAAGTGGTCCTACCATTTCCTTGTTATCAGCACTGCTGGAGTTCCTGTGCCTCCACATCCTTGTCAACACTTGATGCTGTCAGCTTTAATCTAAGCCAGAGTAGAATTTTTTTGTGGATTTGATTTGTATTTCCATAGAGGGCTTTAATTGTTAGTGGAGTATCCCCCGACACCACATGGACAGAGCCTCTGTGTCAGATTCCCCTTGATTGAACTGGACTCATTGTTCTTTCTTTTTCTCTTGAGATCCTGGCTCTTTTCACTCCCAGATTGTCTTTTCTCCACCTTTCAGCCTCTTTGTGATGGTTTGGGTGTGGTTTGAGTGTGTCTGCCTAAGGTGCATGTTAAGCTTGCTTTCCTGTGTGACAGTGCTGAGAGGTGCTATGGCACCTTTAAGAGGTGAGGCCTTGGGGCAAGTCTTTAGGTCATTGGGGCACGCCCCTGGAAAGGATTGGGGGATTCCAGTCTCATTGGTTTCCTGCTTTGAGATGTGATCACTTCCTACCACACAGTCCTGCCATTATGGTGCCATTGGCTGTCAGATCTTGACCAGAGACCCAACCAGGGGAGCCTCCTTGGACTCTGAATCTCCAGAACTATGAGCTACACAGACCTTTTTTCTTTATAAAGTCCTAGCCTGAGGTATTTTAGAAAACAGGCTAATACATTCTTACAGAAGGACCTGCAGCTGCCAGAACTGGTCAGTTGGTTTGTGTGATTCACCAAAAATTGGGGACCAAAGCTCTGGTCCCACAAGGACAAGAATAGGGAGACCCAGGGACACAGGGTCAGCCCCGAGCCCCTGCCTAGCCCTGGCACCACACTGGCTTTATTTTCAGAGAAGTATTGCTGGCACTTCTGAGTATGACTTCTGTGGGGAGTCTCCTTGGGGGTCCTTCCATCCCTGGGGTGCTCAGGCCAGGGCCCTGATGTCCCCTCAAGGCCAGCAGATATCATGTCCTCTCTGCATTCTCTGCCTTCTGTCTTTGAGGGCCCTGATTGCAAGGCTCTGCCAGCAGTGGCCCCCTCCTGCCTCACCCTACTTTCTCGGGCAATCTTAGCTCAGGCTCTGGATTTGAGGGCTCGTGGAGTTGGTGTGAGGAGAGCACACGGCACTGGGTCAGTTCCTTTAGAGCTTTGACCCACCCGGCACGACAGCACCTGTGGCCGAGGCTGGGTGCCTCATCCTGGCTCCTAGGCATCTCCACAAGGGTGGAGGCACCTGTGCCACAGGTGGACCCACTGTGTGGCCTCTGGAGCCTCAACTTTGTCTCACACCCTGGCCTTCTCACTCCCTGACTTTTGCCTATGCGCCCTCTTCCCCTCGTCCTCCCTTCTGTTCCCATCTTCCCCCGGGCTCCTTTTCCCAAGCCAGCCTCTGTTTGAGCCATCTGAGGCTGGTCCCCTGGGGGTGGGAATACGGGCACGCAAGCTCTCACTCCGCTGGCCCAGGGAAAGGACTTGTCTTTGCACCAGCACGCATCCACCCGCCACTTGCTCTCTGGTGCCCACCTTAGATACCCCAGTCCTTGCCTCTGTGGGGCGGGATAACCTGGTGTTCAGTTTTAGCCAGTGGCAGGGCCCAGGAATCCCGGAAGAGGACGCTGGCTGGGTGGCCACAGCCCAAAGAGAATCAGATATCTGAGGCCTGCTTCTGTCATCTCTGGGACTTTTCAAACACCTGAGCCCTCAGTGCTCCCCCAAGAACCTATTTGGAGGAGTAAAGATGCTGACAGGACGCAGGGGTATTCTTGGATGGACTGGCAGGAGGGAGTGGAATAGAGGCATGGCTCAGAGTGCATGGACAAAGAAGGGAGCCCGGGGAGTGGGAACACTTGGGGTTTGGTGACAGTGGCTGAGATCATCTCAGCCCTGCAGGGCCATGAGGGAAAATGGGTTGACCATCTGGCTTTTGATGAAATATACTCCCATCACGGTGGGAGAGCCGGCATCCAAGGTGTACAATGGAGATGCTGCAAGCTTGCATGAGTGTGTGTGGTAGGAGTGCATAAGTGTGAGTGTGTGAATATGTTCACCTGGAACACTCTCCTCTCCATTCTTCCACTAGTGACCTGGTCTTCAAGGACTCCCCTGCTCTGTCTTAGACCGTCTTGTGTTGCTATAATGAAATGCCAGAGGCTGGAAAACTTATAAAGAGGTTTATTTGGCTCGTGATTCTGGTCCCCAGTGGGCACAGACAGCATGGCACCACATCCTGGTGAGACCATGAGAGTCCCCTGACTCTCATGCCATGGCAGGGAAGCGAAAAGGATCCTGGCATTGTGCAGGAGGACCCAGGGGAGATGCCAGGCTCCTTAGGAGCAGCCTATCCCCTCAGGGTGGAGCTGGTTCCACCATACCCACATTAATCCGTTTTGAGGACAGTGCTGCCCCAGGCCCAGACCCCGTTATGGTGCCTCCAGCTATGCCTCACCTTTAAAGGCTTCAATGCTGCCATGCTGGAGAGCCCACTGTCAGCACAGGAGTCGCTGGGGACACATTTCAAGCCTGTCCAAGACAGAGCACCCCACTTCTCCCTGCCATGCTGTGTCCACCCCCCTGCCATCCCCTGTGGAGGATTTAGGGGTGGGCACTGGGTCCTGGTTGCTGAAGGGGTTCACGGGATCCCGAGTGGAGCAGTGGCTGTGAGGTCAGCGAGGAAGTCAGTCATCCAGGAACTGTGGAAAGAGGGAAAAAGTGTCAGTCTGACAGATAAAGGGGAAAAAGAAAGGATAAAAAATGAACAAAGCCAGACATGGTGGCACACGTTTAGTCCCAGCACTCTGGGAGGTGGAGGTTGGATCACAAGTTCAAGCCCAGCCTGGGTGGATAAATAATAAATCAATGAATAAGGGCATGGGACAAAGCTTAGTGCGAAGGCCCTGGGCTCCATCCCCAGTACCACCAGGAAGAAAAGTAGAAGAAAAGGTAGGGGTGAGGGGCGTGCAGGCTGAGGACCGCTCCGCAGCACACTCCAGCCTGACGTGCCAGTCATGCACACTGGTTTGCTTGTGTTCCCATCCTTCCTTCGGTGCGGATGGCCCAACCTTTCGGGCTTTATGACTTTTCCTTGGAGATTGTGTTAAGTGTCCTCCTCTCCTCTGTGAACCCCCAGTTCTCTCTTCCACCCAACCCAGCCCCACGTTCTCTGCCTTCCCTAGCCCGGCAGAGGTACGGTAGGTGCGGCTGACACCGCAGTGTTCAGCAACTCACCGTTAGGTTTCACCTTCTCCCCCATGAGTTCCTCCGGGCAGGGCCGCTGTCTAATGCTTCCCGTCCACACTCAACAAGTTTATTGCATCTGGTGAAGTTTAGGTATTTCGAGCTCAGGTGTTCCAGGGCTGCTGAGAGAGCCTTGCCCCGAGGGTCCAGTTTATCTGGCGATTTCATTCAAAGGTTGAAGACATAAGACTCATAAAGACAGGGAACTGGCCCACCCCGGTTCAAGGGACTCTGTCCAATGCTGAATCGGGACGCTTTAGAGGGAAGAATTATTTTTCCCCAGTCAAAACTCCTTGAACCGTTAAATTGGACACACAGAACCTGCGGCTGCTCGTGTCAATCTTCCTTTCCACTTCCCTGCCATGGGTTCCGAAAGACTCTCCCACTGTTTGTTCAGTGGAGGTCAGCGGGTGTCCACTGGCCCGGCTCTGACTCGGCCCTGCGCTGGGGGCTGAGGCTCTGATGTGGGGAGGCGGGGTTGTGGGACAGGCGTGAAGGCACAGGTGTGGGTTCTGGGGCCCCCACCGGTCTGGGTGCCCGGGCCAAGCCTGAGCCAAGCCTGGACGGTGAGGACGGGATGCAGGCTGGAGCGGGCAGCTGTGCTGGGCTCAGACCCTCTGGGCTTGGGAGGCGGGCTCAAATCCCCGCTGGCTGAGACGGTGCCTTCCGCTTTGTGCCTGGCGCTGCCATCTGTGCGAAGTGAGGCCGATAACAGCTCCCACCCTACGGGCTGTGGCAAGGCATCTGTGCCACAGACAACAGAATAGGGTGTGGGGCGTGGTCCAAGACCCGCACCAGGCTGGACTAGGGCACAGGGCTGTGGTGTTTTTGACGCGGTCTGGGATGAGGCCTGTGAGGACCAGGCTGGGCGTGGTCTCAGCCAGACTCTTCCACCCGGAGCTCTGCTCAGTGCTTCTCCTGTGGCCCTCATGGCTCTCAGGCCCCGCCCAGCATGAGCCCCGTCCCGCTGCCTGGCCCCTGGAGCCATGGCATGGTTGTCTGTGGTGCGGCCCACGTCTGGGTTCCAGTGGAGGCTGTGTGGGGATCCAAGCAGGCCTGTGGAGAGGGCGAGGGGGAGGCTGGGAGCTGGAGGAACCGCCCAGCTGGGCCTGGTGAGGAGAGGGGTACCGCCAAGGCTCACCCCACTGTGGACTCCTTCCTGGTGCTGCCCCCATGGCCTGCCTCACTGACCACAGCCACCCACAGGCCTTGCCTGGCCATGGGCCTGGCCACCCCACTGCCCCAGGACTCCTGTGGGGGACCTGCACCCGGGCAGCCTGTGTGGCCAGGGACAAAGCCGGCTGCGAGGTCACTCCACTGTCCACACTGGCCTTGGGGACCCTGCCCTTCCCAAAGTGAGGCCTCTGGGAGTGCCTCCAGTGATGAAGAGATCTTTTCTTTTACAGATGGAAGCACTAATTAAGACGTTTGAATGTCTTCCATATTCCTAATTCTTTGTTCTTTTCCTTTATGTAACAGAGATGGCTCTGCCTCGCTCATTACCAGCTGGTCTAGTAAACATCTAGAGACTATAAGGATATTTTATTTTAATTGCCCGAGCCTCAGGATTGTGGAAACAAGAGGGTGGGGGAAGGGCTCTGAAGCAAGGCTCGAGGAAATGAATACTCAACAAGAAGTTCTCAGCTGGAAGACAGTGTTTTGGGTCCCTTTGATTGTTTGGTAGCTTTAGAGCTTTTGACGCAGGCCCAGGGAAGATTGAGAAGGATTTGAAGGCTGACTTGCTGGATGAGTTGACAAGAGGGCAGGTTTTGAGCCAGTCAATTAAACACATTTCTCCTTAATAAATGTGGCAAACAGCATGAAAATATGCCTTATTTTCTAAGTTGCATGAATCAAAGTCTGGCAGGAGGCCGAGAGGCGAGAGCTGTTTGCTCTGTAAGAGACATGCACACGGTGTCCTGATGCTGGGCTCCGGGTACAGTTCTCCCAGGGAACACAGCTTCTGGAACAGGGCCCCGTGCCAGCCTTGGAGACCAGGAGTGGAGGGTAGGTCCTGGCCCACCAAGGGTGTGGGCCCGGGTCACCAGCTGGGAGGGGCTCTGGGCAGCTCAGCCACAGTGTGGCTCCAGTATCCCCCCTCCGGCAGAGAAGCCGTGGGCCTGGGCTCACCCTATACGTACCTGTGGGTGCCAGCTTTCCTAGCGCAGCCTGCAGCGGGCACGTGGGGGCCCAGGAGGAGGGCACAAGCCAGCAGCTACCCCTGGGCCTCCCAGTGGGACATTGCCCTGTTTGACTCCCGGGCTGGTGGGATGGGACCTACCTGGCCACAGGGCGGGGTGGATGGGCCCTGTCACCTCCACAAGTCTGGTGCGCTGTCACCCTTGTCTCCCTTCTTCCTTTCTTCCCTCTCCCTCTTCCTTCAGGAACAGACTATTGCTATGGTGCCCATAGCAGACTATTGCTATGGCTGGCTTCAAACTCCTGGGTGCAGCAAATCCTCCCACTTCTGCCTCCAGAGAAGCTGGAATTACAGGTGCACGCCACCAAACCTGGCTTGGTGTGTTCTTATTAAACTGGGTTTCCTCCCAAGGAGGAGGAGCTGGGGCTGGGTGTCCTGGAATGCCCGTCCCACCTGCTGTCAGCACCCTCTGGAGACCCCGCTGGGCCTCTGCCCTCTGCCCCTCTCCTGGCGGCTCTAGTGGTGGTGGGGATATCTGGTTGGAGGCGTGGGTGGGAGCCAGGCTTGGAGCAGGGGCTGGTCCGGTTGGATGGGGCTGAGGAAGCAGGAGGGAGGATGCAGTCCTATGGGAGAGGCCACAGGTCCACTTAGCGCTCTGCCCCCACGTGACACCCAGCTCTGCCATCCATCGGTGGTGTTTTTGGTTCAGCTGGAAGAGTCCCTGTTGGCCTTATTAAAACCAGAATCCACCATAAATGCTAATTCTCCACTCTTAACCCACAGCATGTGTGTTTTTGGCCCAGGAACACTCATTAGGGCCGAGTGCTTCCTGGGTTGAGGAAGCCCCTGTCTCGTTAGGCAGCCAGCCAGGTCCTGGTGGTTCTAATGAGCTGTAAAAGCCAGTCAGGAACAAGAGAATTAGCAGAGAGGGAGCCTTCAAGTTCCCCAGGCACCCGCGGGCCAAGGCGTTTCATGGAGAAGGCGCTGGCCCACTGGGTCTGGTCTTACCAGTAGAACTGGACTCAGGAACAAAGCTGTCCTGCAGAGGAGGAGCCCTGTCCCATCTCCAGCCTTTGGTTGGGGATGGGGAGGTGGTGCCGGGTGGTGGCCGTGCTGGTGGCTGCTCAGACCTTGTGTCTGTGGAACTTGAGTGGGAATGTGGACAGTGGCCACTGAGGGTCCAGGCAGAGGCTGGCCGGGAGTGGCTGGGAGTGGACTTGAAAGTGTGAGGCCCATGTCAGTTTGTTCTCAGAGACCCACCCAATGGGCTTAAGGGGCAAAGTGTTCCCTGGACAGTAAAGCTTGGTGCAGGGGTTGGTCCCCGCTTGGACCCTCCCTAGGTAGGAGTGCCTGCTCTTGGGTTACACACTCCTGCCCACTGGCCATGCCTGCCCTGAGCTGGGGAGGGGACCAGGAACTAGTCACCCTGGTGGTCCTCAGAAGGAAGTCCAGGTGGAGGACTCGGGTAAGCACACCCCAGAGTGATCCTTGAGCAGAGATGCTCTCAGGCTTCCACAGCATCTGGCCCCTCCACCTGAAGCTCACGGAGGTGGGGACACAGTGGTGCCCAGGTATCAGGCATGCCAGGTAGGCAGGTAGGCAGCCGCTTTCCAAATCCTAGCTTCCTGGGGCGACAGTCTGTGCCCTTGGCCCAGGTCATCAGTGGGACCAGCTGCACCCGAGTGTGTGGTCTGAGGCCGAGTGCTCCCTGGCACACGTGGGGAGCAGTGCTGGCGCATCTCCACCACAGCGGATGTACGTCTGCTCCTTCAAGCTCACAGACTCTGTGTGAGTTTCTCAGCTCCCAGACCCCAGGGCTGCCCTTCACTCTCTCTGTGTCCTGGACACAGTTGGTCTCCTTTTCTTTTTTTTTTTTTTTTTTTTTTTTTTTTTTTTTTTTTTTTGGTTTTTCTCCGGTACCGGGAACCGAACCCACGACCTTGCGCTTGCCAGGCAGGCGCTTTTGCCGCTGAGCTAAATCCCCAGCCCCTGGTCTCCTTTTCTACTTCCTCCTTCTACAACTGCACCACGCCCAGTCTCTAGCTCTCTTTCCTTCTCACTGTAAGCTGTCTCCACACAATGTCATAGTCACCCAGGCTCGTGACTCTTGGCTCCAGACTCCAGCCCTGCACTTGGACTTGGCCCCTTTGACCTCTCCACAGACCCAGTACTTGAGCTTGCCTCCCCCAGCCCTCTGCTCCCCCTGTAGCCTCCCCTGTATGAGCAGATCCTCTAGTTGCTCCATCTAGTGCTTGCGACAAGCTCCACCCAGCCTCCTCTGGAGCCGGTGGGAATGTTACATGGGCATAGCAAAGGATCTTGGGATGGTGCTTTGCCAAAAGCTGAGCAGATGCAGCTCCAGATCTTGGACTTCCAGCCTCCACAGCCATGAGATAAGTCAACCTGTTTTTAAAGTGAATTGTCTAGTCTCAGGTATTCTGTTACAGCAATAGAAAGTGGACTAAGACCAGTATATCGTCAGCAGTGGACTTGCTGGGTGGTAACTTTATGTTTAACGAGAAACCAGCATACTGTTTTCCACAGTGGCCACGCCATTTTCCTTTCATGCCGGCAAGGCACCAGCGTTTTAGTCTCTCCATCAGTTTCTTGCCAGCCTTTCCTCCCTCCCTCTTTCTTTTCCTCTTTCCTTCCCTTTTTCTTTTTAATTACAGTCATCTTAGTGGATGTGAAGTAGTGTCTCCAGGGTCTGACTCCCATTTTTCTAATGACTAATGAAAATAAGCATTTTAAGACATCTTTACTGACCATTTGTATATGTTCCTATAATTTTATTTTTAATGTTTGTATTTATTTTTTATTTACTTTTTCTGTGATGTAAGAAGAGAGATTCATATTTCCCCAAATAGGTGTCCAGTGAGTACAGCACCATTGTTGAAAAACTAGATTTTTCTGGGGTAGGAAGAACTCTAAGATGTTTTCTTGAGAGCTTAGCAGAGTGGCTGGGCAATTGGGCATGACCTGTCGGTCACAGAGACCAGTTGATATGGAGATTCTGGACACATGTGCAGAGCAGCTTCAGAGCCCTGTGTCTGACACTATTAGAGAATGCTGTCTTCAGTTCTTTCGGCATGAGATCAAGCAAGCCTTTGATAGGGTGACCTGGACATGACATCAGAAAGAAGATATTAAAGATGGCAGCCATGGGCTTTACTGCCACTGCCCTCTCTTGCTCACTTTTTTCTTCTTTTGCCTTAAATAAACATCAAACTTTCCTGTTCCTCACCCTTTTCACCCAGTTCTTTGAACAGGACAGCAAGAGCCTGGAAGTACCACTGGCCACTCTATCGTCCAACAACATCCTGGCCTAGGCTGAGTAGGGGCTCCACAGAGATCCCCACATCCTGACCCCTGGAACCTTGAAAATTGTATTAGAGGAAAAAGATGAATTTAGGCAGCAGGCAGAAAAAAAGTTGCTAATCAGCAACCTTAAATCAGCAATGGCATCCCAGATTATCTGGGTAAGTGTAGTGAAATCACTAAGATCCTTATGTGTAAAAGAGAGAGGCAGAAGAGGCCAGAGTGATCAAATGCACTAAGAATTTGGCTTAGAGTTGCTGACTTTGACCATGATGAAGGGGACGTGAGCTAAGGAATGTAGGCACCCTCTAGAAGCTGGGAAGGGCAAGGAAACAGACTCTCTCTGTAGCTTCTAGAAAATAAGACCGTCCTGCTGACACCCTGATTTAACCTACTGGACTTCTGAACTATAGAACTGTGTGTAAGGTTTGTCTTTTTTAAACCACCAATTTTGAGGTAATTTGTTACAGCAGCCACACTAAACCCACAGAGACCTCACGCTTTCAGCTCCCTAGTATGCACACCGTGTAATGCCCTCCCCTGGAGCGTGAGCGAGATGAATAAACATGAAGGCATTGCTCCAGTGACTGTGTAATGCTGTATGGCAGAGGGCATTCTGCACATGGTCTTCCCCTGACTGTGGATCATTCAGGGAGGACCGTTCTCCATTGGCCTGACCTCAGGAGACGTTAAAGAAACTCTTGTTGTCTTGAACTAAGGACTTCAGTACTGCAGCCAACAGGAACTTTCTTGGGAGAGAAGTCCAAGTTCAAAAGAAGGAATGCCAACTGGCTGACAGCATGATTTTAGCCGTTTGAGACCCCAAGAGAACGCAGTACACCATGCCCAAGCTTCTGACCTGCACAAACAGATGCGATATATACTTGTATGCGCAATAATAAATCAGTGTCATTTTAAAGCTACCACATTTTTGCCAATTTGTTTTGTAGCAAGCAGAGGAAAAATAATGCCTTTCCTTCATCCAATTACTTTGACACCTTTGTTGAAAGTCAATTCAGTATATGTTTGTCTCTATTTTTGGATGCTATTCTGTCCCATTGATCTTTGTGTTCATCCTTTTTTTTTTTTTTTTTTTTTTTTTTTTCTCCAGAACTACTGTCATTTGGATTACCATAGCTTTTAAATGAGTCTTGAAATTTGGGTACTGGGAGTCCTCCAACCTTGTCATAATTTTTCAATTTTGGGTGCTGTGCATTTTAACATAAATTTTAGAATCAGCGCCCTCTTTCTCTCTTGAAGCCAGCCACTGTGTCCAAAGTCTGACTCTGAGCCCACCGTGCTACAAAGGGGCTCATGTCCAGGGATGTGGAGGGGCGCTGAGTGGCAGGCGTGTGAGTCACGACCTTCACGACCTTCAGCATGGCCCAGCTGCCAGGGAAAGCAGCAGAGTGAATCATCCCAGCCAGCCCCATCTGCAGGGGAGGAACCCTCCCGCTGAGGGCAGGTAACTTAGGAACTGTTGTTATTTTAAGTTACTAAGCATTGAGATTGGTTATAAAGCAATAGGACACTGGCAAGTAGGGCTAATTACTTTTTCTACTTTTTCTTGTGTCACTTTTGATAAATTATGAAGTTCAAGTAAGTTTTCCATTTCATCTAAATTGTTGAATTTATTGTTGTAAGCTTTTTGGTAATATTTTATTATTATTAATATTTCTTCTTTTTTTTTTTTTTGGTTTTTCTCCGGTACCGGGAACCGAACTCACGACGTTGCACTTGCCAGGCAGGCGCTTTGCTGCTGAGCTAAATCCCCAGCCCCTATTATTAATATTTCAATATTTCTAGGACCTGTAATGATGCTTCTTTTCCACTTCAGCTATTTTGAGTGTATGTATATATAGATATATGCACACATATTAACACACACACATATACATATACTCATA